TACGCCCAGCGTACGGATGGGTACGCCCAACGTACGTTAAGGATCCCCCGATGGTGCGCATGCATCGAGTATGCCATGCGTACATAATGTATGCCCAGCGTACTCACCATCCTTCCACCACCTTAACTTGAATTGAAAATAGATTAAGTCGAAGACTGCATACCTGACGGCTCAGGTGCTACAATTCTCCCCCACTTGAATCAGACTTCGTCCTCGAAGTCTGTTGTCGGAAATAACTCTGGATAATGCTCATTCGTCTCGTCCTCCGGCTCCCACATCCATTCTAAGCAATTGTTTCTAAGTTAATGCACTTGTTTGTTATATTAATGTTGTTTCTGATGTATACACACATTACATTAATGGGGAACAAGAACGTTACAAGAGAACAACGATTACATTATATAATATGTATCAAGAACATTACATTAACAACATCGTCGTTAATTGTTAAATAACAAACCAACAATTCACCAACTAAAAAAAGGCATGCCCGTATTATAACATATGTTTTCTTGTTTTTTTATCATGTCTTTGTGTCTTCTTTTGTAGTGCATTGATCCTTAATGTTGCTTAGTTGGCATTTACATTATGGTTTTTTTTTCCTTGGAGTGCTTCTCTCCCCTATATGTTGCATGGTTGTTTTCTTCTGCATTAACCATCATCTTAAACACATAAGTAATGGCAAGAAGGGTAGAGGAAACACCAACAATTGCTATCATCTTTACAGATGACATACTTTTGAGTAAACAAACTAAACAAACAAGTAACATGCCTACATAAACAAGTTTTTGTATAAAACTCCATTACAACATTACATACCACAAACCATCCACAATTCAAAAAAAACACCAACATCAAATCTACACATCTTTCACCACCAACCAGTCATCATCACAACAAACCCAACCATCCATCTATATACACCCCACCCCCACATTACAAATTGAAATAACTTATATGCCCTCCAATCCTTTCATCCTTTTGCTTCCGGAAGGTCAACACATAGTCAACTTTTTGATTTAATAAATATCACCGACTGGTGTGACACATCTGACAAGAAGTGGCATTCTTTGGGTTCATATAAGTGCACTGATCGCATGACCACCCGGTCAAATCATCGGTCCGAGTTGACCCACCACCCTTTGTGGGCCCCTTTCCTTTTCCACTTTTTGACTTACTTGTCCCTGCTGCGTGTTTTGAGGTGCTTGTTTTGCTTGATGCCCCGTGTGAGTCCACGTCAGATAACCCATTTTCTAATGCTCTCACCAAATTCTCAAAGTAATTGCGTGTCACACTATTTAAAAAATAATAATAATAACTTTTTCAAGATTTTATAAACCCAGAAAAAAAAATCAAAACTTTAAGAGAAGGATTGAATTTTACGTGGTCAAACCAGCCAACTTTGTTCTGAAATTATTGAACTCCTCTTGAGAGGCATTTCCATCAATGTAAGTATGTAATTCCTTTTCAGCACATTGATGAAGCCTTTCTAAACCAGCCTCTGCTTCACCTGCGAGGGTAATATGGTCATTTACCACTTTTATTTTGTGTACAATGTGGGGGAAGGAGAAATGGGAATATAGACACATACCTTGTAAATACTCAAAAAACTGTCTTTTTGCTACTTCTTGCTCAGGTAAGTAATACCCATATGCATATGTCCATTTTAACACACGCCTACATTCAACTATCTGCAATACAAAACCATCATTTAAAACAATAAATC